CAAGTACAACACTACTACTACTAATCCAGGTAATTCTTTCTACTTTTTAGTATTGTCTTGGTTAAAATAAAGCGGACTACCTGCTGCTATAACATGTTAAAATACATTAATAGTTTACGATTATATATATACAGGTGTTCAGTGTCCATCACCATCTTCACATGGGGTATTACCAGTGGTACAGACTGGAAACTATGGTTATGGAACTTTGGCTATGGAGAAGAGCTTTAGGGTAAGTTTTGGCCTAATAAAACAACACCAATCTTAGAGTTAAATACTCTATGTTGCTTGTGTTTTTTTTTCCAACTAAGTACACATGAAATGAAGAAGAAAAAAAAAGAAGAGGATATATATATATAGTCCTATTATCAAAACAACATTTTCTTCACCATAAAAATATGAGAACAACTACTCAACTTGTCATATGTCAAATTTTCCTTTATTCTATACATATAGTATATAAGATTTGAACTAGAAAAAAAAGAAAATAAGATTTTTGAAATTGAACCCTAATTTTGCAATTGTTGTTGATGAATGGTTGAAACAGGAGTGTTCAATATCACCACCAGGTGGTAGTTATCATCAAAATTTGACATGGGTTGGTGTTGATCCTTACAACAATATGAGTACTACTTCTCCAGCAACTTACCCTTTTCTTGAAAAAAGCAACAACAAACACTATGAAGAAACCCTAGATGAAGAGCAAGAAGAAGAAAATTACCAAAGGGGTAACTCTGCTTTAGAAACTCTGTCACTTTTCCCCATGCATGAAGAGAACATCATCTCAAATTTCTGCATCAAACATCATGAATCTTCTGGAGGATGGTACCATTCTGATAATAACAATTTGGCTGCTCTTGAACTTACTCTCAACTCTTTCCCCTAAATTATGAACTAGTCTATCTTATGTTTGTAGTAAGTAAGTACTAATCTAATTTGGTATGTGCCAAGCTATTTGGACCTTATGGTAATGTTAATTAATCTTAATCTAAGTTGTACTAATATTATTAATTAAAGTATGGATAAGTTTATTAGTCTTTCTGTCTCATTTTATATGATATTTTTTATTCCTAATCAAATCGTATCACGTGAAATTTTAATTTACTATGAATGGAGGAATTTTATTTTTGATAGGCACTAGTCAGTAATCACTAGCAGACAGTACGAAGCAAATATTGTACTGTTCGTACCTACACCTATGGTAATATAAAACCAACATGCCATGGAGTTTCTAAGCCAAAACATTAATTGAGATTATGAATTCAAGATGATTAATAATGGAAGAATTTAACATTGTGCTCTCATAATATTTTTTTTTTAAGAAAAAAAAAGTCACATCAATAACAAAAAGGTTATATGACTAGGGGCGGAGCTTGAGATCAGTAACTATTAAAATTCATTCGCTTTTTCATGTATTTACTTTTTATATTTTAAATTTTCTTAATGAAAATTTACACTTTTTTTTACCTCATTTACAACATCATGTAATTGTATACGTTAATACTTAATATGGTAACCTAGAAAATAAAGTTAAAAGCTATCATAACATAATAGTTTAGAAATTATTTGTACCGTTAGGGTATGAATGTTAATTTTGTCGGGTCAGTGAGAGAAATGTTTGAGAATATATGTATCCTAATTCCTAGGTACTTACTTACTAATAATTACCCTAATTACGGGTAGTTTCAACACTAATTAATAATTAATAAAACCAATAATTGTGTACATGATTTTAAGGAGGAAGAGTAGAATAGGACAGAATGAATCTAAAGTTGAAGAATAATTTTAATGATAGAGGATAATTAAATCATTCAATATATTATCATAAAAAGAATATAGATAATATAGTATTGGTTACCACTTGCCACATATAACATGCAACTATTAGAATTGTCTTTATTGCTCTTAGAATTTTGGTCAACAAAGTGTCTATATCATTGAATTTAATTATCATCTCATGCGTGCCTTGAACATTTCTGTTTTACATCTCTTTCACGTGGAATAACAGATATATTGTGGTATTCCTTTCTGAAATAAATTCAGTATTTTTATTCTTTCTACCTCTCCGTCCATTTTATATATCACGTTACGCTTTTCGAAAGTTAAATTACATGACTAATATTTTAAGATGTTTGTATTTTTTTCATTTCAAATTTAAATTAATAATTATTTTAATTCAAATTGGTTTAATTAAATTTCGTAAAACGAAACATGACAAATCAGAATGAACCAAAGGAAATAATATGCGTGTAGTAGTTAGTAGTCTATATTTAGGGTTTGATCATGGTCTTGGTCTCTTGGATGATGACTATTGCACTTTGAAAGTGGACAATTTTTCCTATTATAACTTTTTCTTGTTTAATTAATATCACCTTATAGTGATAGAGATTTGGCATAGACCTTTTACCTTGTAAATTAAATCCAAGTACAAATTACGTTAACCAGAAAGATGTATATTAGGACATCTCTCCAATTTGACCATCACTTTAGGTACTTCAACTAGTTTAGTAGATTTGAAGCAAGAAAAAAGAGCCTGTTTTTTTTTTGTTTTAAAAATCACTCTCTAATAATCTGAAAGTGAAGAGTGTTTATCTTCTGAACCACACGTCTCGTCAGAATGGCATGTTTACAAGACCACATGTTCATACAGAAGTATTATTTGAATGACATGAATTAGGATTGTGTTTGAGATGGAGATTTAGACGACATGAGAGACTTCGAAATGACTTTTCCAAACTTTATCTTACCAATAAGTTGTCTTGCCTGATATCCTTTTCCTAAAAGATTTGGCATGATGTTTACTAATTGGACAATTCGTACTACTTTATACATTTCATAGCATTCCATTTTTTTTTGGACATATTTTACATTATATTCTATAAAATATTCAAGATCAAAACACTATTTTTATATACAAAACTACTTAAATTATGGTTATTGTTTTGTCCTTAATTTTAAGAATGGACACGAGGCATTATTTTATTTTTAACTAAAAGGGATCATTTGGTTTGAAATGTTGATGTGTTCGGCCGGTTGGGAAATGTTTTTCAGAATTTTTTTTCGTCTTCCTTGCTTGTTTTATGTGTTTGATATATAAATAAAACATATTACTCTAATTTTTCATACGTATAATCTAGACAAATACTATAGAAAATGAGGCGCTGATAGAAAGATAGTGTGATGGAGATAACGGATAGAGGGATGAGTATGATGAAGGTTATCTATATTAAAAACAAAGCATAATTAATATAAAATGATAATGTGATGAAAATGACGGATGGAGGGATGAGCATGATTGAACGTTATTTATATTAAAAACAAAACATAATTAATGTAAAATATCATTATTCAACTTTATTTTCATTGATGAGCCTATTGGCCAAGGTAAAATACATAAATGTAGTGCGTGTATAACCTCATAACATCTAAGAGAATCGTAAACTTGTACAGTCTCAACTTTCCGCAGCCTCATAATTAAATTACAAAATGGAATATGTATCAGAATATTTTAATCATTAAATTAGACGATTCATCCTATACTCTCTCCATTTCAAAATAAAAATTAGTTTTTCCTTTTATTAAATTCAAATTATGTTTAATGTATCAAAATATTTTTAAAAATTTTTTTAGACTTAAACATATCACGAGAAATATCAGCTTAAAATAGTTAATTTCTCTCAATTTCAATTTATTTGTCTTTAAAATCTATTTTAAAAAGAACATCTCTTTCCTATTTTAATAAGGCTCAACGTATCTTTAGTTAATACAATCGTAAAATTCATAAGTCTTTTACGCAAAATAAAAATGAATTATTTTAGAGAAAGAATGAAGGGCGCGTGATGTTGAAGGATTGTTATAGGGGACAGACATACCAAGGCGGTGCCGTAGCTCTGAAATCCTAAGTAGTCTATAGAGCAAAAAAGGCAGTCAGTGACAGTCATCCAATCCAAATAGTACACTTTCATAAAAGATTTTCCAATGATCATCATTTTCTTCCTCTCCTTTTTTGCTCATCGTAAACTGCAATAGCAAAATCATGAGCTTTGAGAAAATTTCTGCACCCCACTACAATGCGGCCGTTATTTTGGAGTATTTTTTTTTCTTATCTGCATTTTCCAATTTTTTTCATAGGAAATATAGCTTACGGGAAAAAGATAAATTTAATTGGATTGTGACTACCGAAATTCAAAAGGTTGCATTCATTATATAACTTCTGAGCCCATATCGGATAATCCAAGTGTTCTACTGTATCTATATTTAAGAGTATGTGAAGGCAAATGCCATTTTATTTCCCTAAAACTGATCTTGCATAGAAGAAGTATATCTATAATTTGGATATCCCTTCTCATCCATAGGTGTAAGAATAGTACATCCACAAATTTTATACAAAAATAGGCTTTTTATTTAATTTAATGCAAGCAATTAGATGAAGTTACCGATAAACTAACTCCCAGGGAAGCAAGCCTCCAAAAAATGGAGATAATTATGATAGGTAAAGAAAATGAGTTATGAAGAAGCAAGTCAGCAGACTCGAAAGAACAAGAGACAAAGCTATGTAACTGACAAGTGGGCCACTGACGTCGATGGTCCAGGCCAGTTATGGTGATGGGCACATATAACATTACTTCATTCACATTGTAGTGAATTTTCTTCCATCAAAAGCTTCCTTGGTCCCACTCCCTAGCAAAAGCTTCTTTTTTCTTCTCTAAAATAATTAATTATATGAAGCAAGTCCCAATCACAAAGATTTCGCTGGGATGCTTTCCCCCATATATGGGTTGACAAGTTTCTCATGCTTTACTGGTTTTCATGAACCTCATTCCCTTTGGAGCACTCTCCATTTGAACTTATACTCACCACCATCACTTTGGGAAAAAAACACAGCCAATGCCATCAACTACACAACTCAACTAACATGGTCACTCGCTTACCAACTCTAAACCAATCAATAGTCGTCTTGAAATAATTCAAACTCACTTACCACTTTCCAAACAAAAAAATACACATACATCCTAAAATATCAGGCATTACATAACAGGACATATTCCAAACAAAAGATAGGCACGGAACATCAGGAAAATAAATGAGTTAGATCAAGTAATTTACAACGAGCAAATATGGAGATACCATCTAATTTATCTTCAACAATATACCTGATATTGACAATTTCAATTTCCTCTTTTCTTTTACTTTTTTCTCGGATGTAAAGAGGATAGTCAGCTAATGCCAGATGCTGCTTCTCTAGAGACAGTAGGATGAATCGAGACTTACTAGGAGCGGACAAACCCAAAAGTCCAAATCTCATTAATCATATGAGAGCTTAAGACTTAGAAGTTCCATTTGTGATAAAACACAATGTGGCCTTCAAACAATCAAATAAAGTTTCATGACAAATCAATTCACTAATAGAATTATACCACCACAGTTCTGAGCTAGACCAATCTTTCAACCTCCCAACTACTGATTTTTGGTGTAGCCAACACTGCAAATGTTAGACAGAACATCAGTAAAATGCAGAAATCAATGATATCAACTAGGCTATATTTTTCAACAAGCTGAATTCATATTTATACTACAGAACCAAGACATTATGCAGCATCCATAAGGGGACTTATATTCTCTAAATTGCATCATTCAGCGAAAAAGGAGGTATGCATAGTTATCTTTCACGAGCTTGCCTTGGAGACAGAAATTTTTTTTGGATGACGGTGGTGTCAGTGAACACCTCGACTATTCCACCGAGTACCTACTACCTCCCACTAACACAGTGCCTTCCCACCAAGACTCTGGCAGCTGTGAATAAAGCATCTAGTATTGTTGCCTCTGCTGGGACCCTAGACCTTATGGCTCTTCTGACGTTCCATAGATCACTAGGCCCTAGCACATAGACATATAACATATCAAAGCTAAGTGCTTACGAATAAACTAACCAAAAGCTGTCCTACCTTCTACGGAATCTAGACTCCCCTTCAACCAGATAAAGTTAACATGATCAGCGCTCAAACTCGAGAACTGTTCTGAAACACCTAAACACTTCACCATTTACCCTCTGTCAGGCTACTCAATTGAGGCAGGTTTCTTAACAGCTTTCATTTTCTTTCTCCAGTATCATACAACCATTTTAGTCGATGACTCTGGACATCAAAAAATCTGCATAGGCTGCTATAGCATGTTTCAACGGAAGACGGGGTCAGAAAAAGAGAGAAAGGGAGAGGGCGAGAGAAAGAGGGGGTGTCCTGACAAATATATATCACCACAATGATGAAGTTATCATAAAGAGCAGAGGTATAATCCATAATTGTCGCCACTGTAGCACTGAAGGGGGGTGACCTGACCAAAATACATCACCATAATGATGAAGCTATCACAAATACTTAGAGCAGAGGTGTGATCCATAATTGTCGTCAATGTAGCGCTGAACAATTTCTTGTCAAGCATGTAAGTTCATATTTTGGAGGTATGGTTATGGTCAAAGCATTTAGCATACATTTAAACCACCACCTAATGTTATAAACACAACTGGAGAAAAAACCTGTTAATTCCACACACAGTAACCAAAATAAAGGATTATCAGTCAACAATGTCTTTAAGCAGGAAGAACCAGTCGCATCACTACACAGCAGTGTTTCAACATAAAACAAATTGATAACATGCAACAATTAACCAGCGGAAAGTTAGACATAGAAAAGAAATTTTATGCTCTACATATGGAAAATTTCAGTACCTGATCGTCCAGTGTTCGACTTCAGAAAGCACTCTGACGAGCATACATTATGATCTGTGAATTCTTAACATCATGCAGACAATGCTCAGGAGGAACAATCCAATAGGTTTTGGTGGCCTTGTTCTATCACTTCCCAACACATGAAGTACAGTATGAAATTCCACTATTTTCTTCCGACATAAGCTGCTAATTTTGATAGGTCCGGGATCCAAAATGAAAGCTCAGAAGAACCGGTCACAAACATTAAGCTTCCTGGAGCCCACTTGATCATAGGTGGTTCAGTATCTGTACTCATCCAACTGGCTACCTAAGATATGCAAATAGAATCATAGGATGAGTCAATACAAGCAAAATTAAACAATATGCAAAGATTCTCTTCTAAGCAAAGAAGCTTCACCGCTTATGTATTGAAGCAGCTGCTTGAAATCTTCTTCTTTTTTTTCCAATTCTATCTTTAAGTGATACATTTTCCCTTGCACAACTAGCTATGAATCTCCACCTTTTCACATCATTTTTTGCTCTCTAAAGCTATTTATCACTAATAATAAACAAGTGTTTAGCTTAAAAATTAATTCTAACAACATACAACATTTTTGTCATCCCATTCTCGCAAGTGTAGCATAATACCAAGAGAAGTGAACTTCCAGATAGTAGGGCGGAAACGCACATGCAAGAGCAACAATAGAGAAGTGAGGGGGTGAGGAAAGGAGAAAGCACTTGACTGATCTTTATAACTAGCAAAAGGAAAAGACTGATCCATAAAGCTTTATATTTCCTTCTAAGAAGACTCCTTTTCTTATTTACAACTAAAGTTCCCTGCAAGAGACCACCACTTTACATGCAAATATTTGATAGTAGCAGACATAGGATTCTGTTCATACTTCTTTACCGCTCCGGACACTCCAAGCATAAACACTACCATCACCTGATCCTGCAAGGTAATTCAAAGCAACATGTTATAAACTTTACCTTCTCTGTCTTTTGGGAGAACGAATGGCATAAATAAGTAAATTTGCTTTGTAAAAAAACAATTCTATAACTATAAAACTCTAATATGACCTCATTTCATTAGGATATGCATCTGAGGATAGAGTTAAGAAGAACAAAATGATCCTAATTGGCTGTAGACAAACTGAACTTATGTATCCAAAGCATTAATGGGACAAAGAAACTGATACACATACACCCTTTGGCATTTGGATTCCGCCCTAACTCATTGGTTTCTCATTATGCAGCTTCACGAGTTCTAATATATCAAGTGATTCTTGCATTCCCAATTAAATGACAAGTTGCTAACTAAAGCAATAAATGTATAAGCTTCTCTTTTTCTCCTCCTCTCTCTTAAGCTGAATGGTATTCTTCTAGAAAGATTTAACTACTTCCCCAGGTGAGCCTTAAGATCATCTCACCACTAACTACTGAACACAAAATTTTCGTTTTTTTTAGTGCACCACTTCCATTAGGGGTACTTTCTAAGCTTCTTTAGATGTATGAATTGACAAGTCTGAAAGATGCAAGATAAAAATGATCTTAATTAAATGCAGTAAAAGAGAAGGAATTTTTGAGCAAATGCTTATATTCTGCCAGTAAGAACTCATGACATGCAAGTCAATAGCATATTAGCATTCACACTTTTGTCAATAAATCAAGTAAGACTCAATCGTAACTCTGTTGGTGTATGCTACAATTGAATCCGCTTTACTCATGCCCATTTATTCTAATCCTAAATGTTGTCGTTGTATGCAAATTAAGGGTTCTTTAAACCTCACACATTTCCCTACAGAAATAGTGAGCTTAATCCCAACTTATCGCCTATATGGATCCTTTGCTTTTATTATATTCTTATCTTAGCTAAGCTTGCATTGGTGCCCGGAGATTTTACGTCTCTTGAGACAACTACCTTACATGTGATTAGGTCTACCAAACGTGCTTTTAGCATTTTCAATCATTACAGAGTTACACTTACCACTACTGCATTTGAGGCCTACATACAGTATTCTTGAGATCTATGGAGGACAAGACAACCATTTGAGTGATTTTCTCTCAGTTAATCCTGTGTGTCCTACTTGCTGCCTCTGTTGAAGATCACTCCTAATACCATCCATCTTGCATGAGCAATGTCCATCTCATCAAAATACTAGAAATGTTAGAGAGGATACTTCAATTTATATATTTTGGGCATGCTACGCGTCATTCTTTTTCTTTAGTCAAACACTCAGGAAGAATTTCTTAATGATTAGAAATGAGACTTGAACACAATCTCTTTCTGCTCATCCATGTTGGTTTATGGGAAAACCTCATCTAAAAGCTTAAAATATTGGAAAAAGGAAACTTATATTTATTTATTTTAGGTCTGCAACACATAATGATAACTCTTATTATAGGAGATCTCCAGATATCAACCAAGCAGCAGTCAAATTCAAGCAATCTTCCTTGGGAAGTTCAAAAAGGGCAATACAGCAAATATTTTGGGAAGTTCAAAAAGGGAGAATCAGAGAAGTGTTAGACTACAGGAGCCCAGCATGAATATCATGACAAAACCATTACCTGATATAACAAACATCCCTTCTGGACTGAAAGATGCCTCCAGTGTTGAACTACTTGAAACGGGCTGTACATTATACGTTGATAACTGCAGGAAATACCAGCGTAAATGCAGAGCTTATTTAGTCACAATAGTAAAACCAAATGCTTTTGGAATTGAAGGATGGAAACAACTCACATGTGTGCCACGGGAAGAATCAAGCACATGAATATGCCCATCCTTAGTTGTCAAAAGCACAAGTCTCCCATCGTTACTGAACTTAACGCTGTTAGCATCAGACACATCTCCACCAACAGAGAAAATTTCAAAAGGTCCCTTCAAAGAGTTAACTTTCGACAAATTAATGAAAGCTAAAGATGCAAATGACAAATATTACGCATGTCAATTAAGTAATTCATTTTCATGTATCAAATGCAAAACCTTGTCGAAATAGCGTGCATCAAACATCCTTATATATCCTCCAAAAGCAATAGCAAATACAAGGCCTTGCTCATCATAAGCAGTAGCTGGTCTTCCTTGCACTCGAAGAAGGCCCTAAGAACAGAAAACTTATCAATTAATCAGATATATGAAGAAAACATTTGATAAGAACAAATAATGTCAATGAGGACTTTACCTGGCATTTCTCAGCCCTTTGATCCCAAAGTAGAACAGTTCGATCAAGTGAGCCAGAGATAAAATACTCCTTTCTATAGCATAAGCTAAGAGAGACGACCCTGCAAATGACAAATACAGACTTAGTACTGAGGATTGATATTCAATGGAAGTCTGACAAAGTTGGTACTGCTTAGAAGTGTGCCTGTCACGATGACCCTTGAAATACCGCAAGTACTTGTTGTCATGCAATGAAAGAAGTCGTAGAGATTCTGAAACAGTCCATCAGACAAATTAGTAATTCACTTGTTCTGCTTTTCAAAGATTATACACCGGAATTTATCATCTTAGAATAAGGTGCATACCATCCCAACCATTCTTGGAGGAGTATATTACAGTCGTTGGATGAGAAGTGAAGCTAACCAGATCGACCCCGTACTTTTTGCTATTAATAGTTTTCAAACACCTGCAATGATGGATATATTACATAGCATCCCCAACAACATGAGAAGAAGGCATCAAGATAACATTTAATGAAAAGAAGAAACAAAAATGAAAAAAAAAACACGGAAGGAGAAGAGACAGAATAAGAGCATTTTCCCCAAGTTTTTCTAATAGAAGCTCTTTCTGAAGAAAAGATGCTTCTATAGGGAGCCACCTTGTTAATAATGATAAAATGTAGAGTTATTTTATGAGGCCAAACATGATGAATGAGAAGGCCATAAGGATCTTAGCTCATATTTGAGTCCAATAACAAATTCTGGTTCAAAATTCACTTTGTAAGGCTTGATTGTAAAGAAGCAGATATACAGCAATGACCTTCTTTTTTTTTCATACGTGCCTTTCCTTTTTATTTTGATTACATCAGGGAGAGGGATGCTACGCTAGTAATGGGGCTTGGAAACCTCAACGGTGGAAGGCAGGGAGCCCACCAAGTGAGCTAGCCCTCAAACCCACCTCAGCAGATGATCTCAAGCTTCTGTTTTAAATTATTTTGCGCTTCTCAACAAATGATCATCTAAAGTAGGACACTGATAAGTGAGGAGATGATTACAGGGCAAAGTGTGGTTTTGAGAAGCCAACCTGCTTGAGAGTCTTTTTGAGTACTTGCTAATTTAGTGCATCATAAGTGTAAAGAGGATTACTTCACGCCCCAAATGGAAATAATTAATAGCTGTGAAAGGAATTTAAATGGTTAATGGGTGCAGCAGCACATCATTATTTGACAACCAATACGCCGTTTTATTAAACACTGCTCTTTTTGAGCTGGGAAAGAATATAAGAATATACTGTAAGTTGCGCTCTTGGAAGAACAAAGTTTTAACTTTCCTAATTTATCAGTTATACAGAGGTTAACAGAAATGTAGCACTGCCTGCTAAAAGTACCAAGAAACAACAATAAAGAAAGTATGAATCGTTTAATTAAATTTGCTGCCAATAAAGTAAAAGTAAAGATGCTTACGTTGCATTTGCAACATCATATAGACGTATGGACTCATCATCACTGGCTGTCACCATAAAATTTGATGTCTTATGGAAATCCATTGAACTGATTCTACCACTCTGCATGTAGAGAAAATCTATGTCAATATTAAATGCTTACACAGCCTACACACTTTAGTGAAGAAGAACAACAGCTGTTTTAGAAAGGATCACAGCATAGCTCTTAATAGTTGGTCTATAATACCGTTACTCAACCTTTTTAGACACAAGGTGTTGACAAGAATATACATTAATTAACAGATAATGATCATATTGTTGCGTCTCAAAAAAAAAAAAAGATCATACAACTACAAAGTTCTTTTAGAGCTCATTCTATTTGTTGTATAAGGAAAAAATAACCACCCGTTTAATTCTATATTACCAGTACAATGATTGCTTTTACGTATAGAACTTTGTATTACTAATACAACTCTAATTTACTACTATATTATAATCGTTGCATGAACACAACGACCCTCAATACAATAATTGAAAGAGTCTTACTACTCTTGTCAAATAGAAGCAAACATTGTGCATCCCTTATGCATGCCTATGTATATTCCTCTTTTCATGAAATGGAACGAGTAATAGAAGTGTTTGTTTCGTTTCTCCGACAACCTTAACCAACACAAATGCAAAACTTTAAATTAAAAGAAGGTGTATATTTCTCTTAAGTATTAGCTATCATTGAAATCATAAATGATGATAACGCAACTGTATTAAACCAATAAAGCTAAAATTAGCTTAAAAAAACAAGATTTTCCCCATTAAAAGATCAAGCGGCACTTCTGCTAGGGTTGTTCAATTAGATTTGGCAGTCTGATAACACATACTGCGATCAATTACACCACTGTTCCTTCTGAACCTAATATTTCCCTTGAAGTAATCAACAGCGCCAGTGTGAACAATATACTAAGGAAGGGACAAAAAAACGAGGACAAATTTTACGGCTTTTAAAATCGGTTTCCTGTAGCTTATGAATTCTTAAACGAAAGAGCTATCCAAATTACCAAACTTACATAGTCGCGAAATGTCATGCCGACTTCCATGCTCTGTAGAATTTCTTCAGTGGTCTCAAGTGAGACCTTGTCTTCTCTGTCAGTTGGTCCACCTGAGAAAAACTGAAATCGTCAAGAAGCAACAGAAAATAATCAAGTAACACAAAGATAATTCAATTTACTTCATAATTTCTACTGTACCTGCCATGGTGTTCTTCGATAACAAGCAAGTTGCAGATTCTTTTGTATTGTATTTCACCGGCGGCGACGGAAGTTTACAACTGAGAACTCGAGCGGGGAGAATGTCGCGTTTTCTCTGGGACTAGGAAAATTCCGGACCCGTTAGAATTGGGCTTAGTCTAAGGCCCTGATTTTTTTCTCTTGAATTCAAAAATTTCACTATTTATTTATTATATTCTATATAATAAATAAATATTGCTATCGTATGTTATTATAGTTTATTTATATTTTCACCGTGAAAGGTTACCATATATAATCGGTGTTTAGACGCTTCAAGAAATTATGACCTAAATGTTAGTCATTTCGAGCCTCGGAACTAGTAAGAAAACATAATAAGCTATTTACACATTTTCTGAACTAAACTACCGCGTTTTCTAGATTTTCTAGAGCCTTTACCTATTCTATCTTTTTAATAATGAGTTCGGAGTCTAAAGGGTGAAAAATATTAACAAAAATTTCAAAATGATATGTGAAATTTTTTTTACTAAAATGGTAAAATCGCTCATGAAGTTGCGATTTTATCCGCTTGAAAAAATAAAATCATTGCAATAACGGCGATTTATTAAATTTAATTTTTTAAAAAAAATAAATTAAACATCGCTCCCTTGGGAGCGATTTCCAAACTAAAATTTTCTTTTTTTAACCATATTTCCAGTTCTTCTTGCACTAATATTGTCCACCTCCATTCAAAAATAATAGATTCAGCGGAAAATCCTCTTTGTTAGAATCACACATACAACATGTTATATCATCTATTTATTATATAATTTTAGATAGACATAAATATTTAATAAAGGAAAATAGTCAAAAATATTCTTAGATTACGTGAATAATTAAAAATGTCTTCTGTTTATATTTTAATCCATTTATACCTTTATAGTTAGCGAGATGGATCAAAATATCCTTAAATGAAACGGAAGCAAACGAAAAAACTTAGACACTAATTAGTGTTAGGCCTTATTTGTTTCCATTACAATTAAGAGGTCTGAATTTAATTATACATTTAAATATTAAGATTTGAGTGTTTTGATATGAATACACATCTGAATATTAAGATCACGGTCTCTAAATCTGAACACTAAATAATTAATTTAGTTTTTTTATAATATCTAAAAAAATGATGTTTGATTGAAAAAAAGTGAGAAAGAAAATTTTTAGTTATGAGATAAAAAGACACGCAAAAAGCAGAGAAAATATGATTTATTATTTAAAAACTTATTAAATGAGTCAGATTGTTGTTAAGAGTCCTACAAATCTGATTCGTTCAGACCCATTAAGAGATTTTTCTAAATGAACTTAATGTGTTAGATCTGAATGATTCAAGATCATACTTAAAAACCAAACGTTCTTTATGGACTGAATCTGAATGATTAAGATTCAAACCTCCATTAAATACAAACAGATAATGCCTTTATTTGTTTGCCCCATCTCTTCATCTGAAGCCAAAAATATTTTCTTCCAAATTTTATTTCCTCATCCTTCAAAACCCTAGCCTCCTCTTCTAAATTTCTCATATATGCCCAGGTAGGTGTAGAATTTTCTTTTATGTTGGGTAATTTCCACATTATTAAAGATGAGATAAGATGAATAGTAGCCACCATAGCCACTAGATTCCAACTCTTAAATGATAAAATCACCTGCAAAATCACTTTTTTTTGCTATTTTTCTTTATACAAACTCTCTTTTACACTATAAAATGGAGAATTATCTAATATTTACATCATCATCTTCTCATGAATTTTCATCAATTAATAACGATACTACTCTTTGTTTGAAATGCTGGAAAAAAGTATTATTATTGCTGATAATTAGTTGCCACAAAGTGGTGGTAGTCAAAATATTTTTGGACTAAGCATTATATGCGAATGGGTGCATAAATGCCATCCGAATCAGCGTTTAAAGTTTTTCCGTTTTCTTCTTTTATATTTAAATGCGTTTTTAGCTCATTTAACTGATTATCACGATATAAATGGATCAAAATTAAATGCTACACGTTTTTATCATTTCACATAGTACAACATATTTTTTACCCTTATTCCTTTAATAAAATCAACAAGACTAACTAACTATTTTTCTATACAATTATACACTTGTTTCATAGAGAGCATGAGTTATTTTATAAAAGTTTGAATTGTTTTTGTTTTTTATTTTATGAGTAAAATTATAAGTTCAAAAAATAGAAATCACAATTTTGCAATTATAATTCTAAACTTTGAAATGAGTTTGATGTTTGAAACAAAAATTTTAAATTTTAAACTTTAAACTTCAAATATTAAATCCAAACTTTGAAATGCATGATCACACGGCCCTCGAACCATTTGATCTCAAATTCAACTGACCCAACTAGGGATTAAACTTGGATTGTAACTTTTAATGCGAATTTAGCCATACAATTAGGGACTATTATGATTTATGAGCTTTGAAATTTGTAGATGATGATAATACAAACAAGTTCACTGATTTTTTATATTTAATTTTTATTTTCGTTTAGGAGTAGGAACACATGTGAACTTTGCCGTTTGTGATAAAATTTTAAAAAGAGACTAAAACGTGAATACATTTTGAACATTTGAAGGGTTGTTAATGCTCCATACTTACTTTGAGAAATCATTAATTCTGAATTTTCACGCTATTTTAATTGTCTTGAACCAAAAAAATTCTTACATGTAAAATTGGAAATGAGATACCTCTGGTACTTCTCAAATCACCTTATTGAAAATTAATATACACAATTACAATATTTGAAAAGAAAAAATATATTGACAAAGTAGAATAGATCCTAAATTTCACTCTGTAGCTTTCCATTACACAACAATTTACAATATCTAATGTGGCAAATCAAGCCTCCAAACTTTCAAATACAAACAAAAAAAAAAAGAAAAAGTAAAAAAATGTTTAAAACATAAAAAGGAAAAAAGAAAAAGATTTGTGGAATATTAATATTGCGGACTCTGATTTCCCACCTTTTAATCGTCTCCTCTATTTCTCCTATTCCGCTGTTTTCCCCAAAAAAGAACAACGCCGGAAAAGGAGAAAAAATTCTAATATAAAATTACATTACCGGCACAGAAAATACAACCTCCGAGGAATCACCGTCGGTGCCGTCATCGGTGATGGTGGACTTTTTAATGAACTCTATACAGTCCGCAACAGCTTCACTGTGATGATGTTCATGGGAATAATAAGACCGTTGTGAAATCGGCGATGAATTAGATCGTTGTTCTTGTGGTTGTGTAGCCTTCGACATAGCTGATAACATGATCAACCGGAAAACGGCTTCCCGGAATCGATCCAGCAATGTCATCGGCGATAACCGGTTACTTTTCCGGCTGCAGTTATTGCCTCTGACTTTGGGCATGCAAAATGGATTCTTCATTCTTCTTTTTCTTCCTTTTGATTTCTCCATTAAAATGAATAAATGATAGATGCTTTTGCCTTTTTAGATGTTATATGTGTAGGAATCTATTAGCAATGTTCCAAGCACATGCTGTTTAATATGTAGTACGTATAGAATGGGTTGTTGTTAAAGTTGGAGCTGCTTAAATTAAACATTAAAAAAAGGGGAAAATAACAGTTTTGGTCCTCCTGTTATTAATAAAATTTGATTTAGTCCTTTTGATATATGACAAATTATATTTTTAGTCCCTGTGTCTTATATTTGAATATTTTTATAACTATATTATTGTCGAATATCAAGTAACATTGTAAGTTAGGAAGTTTCATTACACTTTCTAACAAAGACGATTCTGTATTTAAGGGGAAACGAACTGAGACCTTTTAGTTAAAAATGAAAAATTACTTATCACTTCACCACAAATCCTTGTTGGTGCGTCATTCATTATTAAATGTGGGAATAATTAATAAGTATGGTAAAATTTCTGAGTGTTAACAACAAAATGAATCGAAAATGCATGCATTGATTAATTTAAAAATTAAACTGTTTAGTTAAATATCATGATAAATATATGAGTAGAATTTGTCAATAATTAAAGGATCAAAACAAAGAAGAATTTTTGTTTGTGTCTTTAAATTATTATTACTTATTATTAAGGCAAATTTTGAATTTTGGCTCATGAGCAAGTGCCGCATCATTATGAAGAAAAAGACGATAATTTGTTAGTTTAAAAAGATAATGTGAATATGAAATTGTGGTTAACATGATTGTTCCTTTTATTTTATTTTTTGTTTTACCAAGACTAACATGATTGTTCAAATAATTAGCAGAAAATTAGTGGTACCTAATTTGTCCAAATGCACTTTGCTTACCGACGAAGTTGCATAATGATTAAGGGGCAGTCGTCAAGTGTAATAACTTTGCTCAAACTTTTATTAACGCAAAGGCAATAATCTCAAAGTTTTTTCTTCAATCTCACGGTGGCACAAAATTAGGGAGTAATATTAAGAAAATTAAGCATGATAATTAAGGAAGCGTTGCGTGGTGTGATAGACCGACAAATTATTTTTGAAAAAAAAAGGTTCAAATATAAATTTTGATCTCCATACCTCTATCTATGTATTTATTGTCACCTAGAGTAGACATTATCAGTGGGAGTGATTCACCCTTAATTAGAAATTTCGGATTTGAGCCATGGGTATAGAAAAAATCTTGTTGGGAGTGTCACCTTAAATGGGCCCCACAGTGTACGATCCGAATTTAATCGGAGCTTATTAGAACTTCGTTTATTTATATATGTTTGATTACATTAAAAACTAGTAATATTTATTTTAATTATTCAATTTTTAAAAATCAAAAGATTATTTTCTATTTTCTATTTTATATTTAGTTACCTTTATCGTTAAGTATTATTCTTAATTTTAATTCATTTACATACATAAGTGGTGATGATAAAATAAACTGATCATTTTATTTATTGTTTTTTAAATGATATGTCAATTGTCAAACATGAAAAAGTAAATATGGACGGAGAAAGTATTCAATTACTATTTATAGCCCCAGCGTAAATCGTTGTAAAAAAAGATGTTCGTATAAAGAAAAGCTATAGGTTACTTATGGTTTTAAGGTCATGATCAGCTCATGTTTAATGTTGACTGTGCTGATGGGTTCTAATAAATTGTTTTTATTACTGATATAGATATTCTTACAAAAAAATAAATAATTAAAAAAGAAGAATGTAATACTGTTTGTGAAAAAATGTCTAGTAATGCAAAATAAA